TGTAAGTTTGGCAGTTCAAACCAACCAGCTGCTCCTTGGAAACCCTGTATAGGGTCACTGTGATTTGGAATTGACTTGACAGCACTTAATAGCAACAACAATGAATAAGTAATCTGTTTTGTTGTCTAACCATTTTTTTTACCCAGTATTTCAGCATCCATTGTTTATCCTTGCCTGAATTACATTGAAGGTTGCATAATAATTTTCTAGTTCTATTAACTTTTCTATATATACCTGAAAACTGTAAAGCATTCCTTTTCCCAACCCCCCTTTCTCATGCATTTTTTTAAAAAAATCAGTGCGTTATAATCCATTACTGCCATTCTTTTTGATTCTTAAATTGTCCCAGATCTGGATTTAAGCCAGTTTCTGTCTACTTTTGACATGCTTTTGGGCATAAAAAAATGTCCCAGACTCACCTAGTAATTTCCCTGTCCCTGCAATGAGCCATTTCCCCAGGGAGCCATGGGCCCTTTTAATGGGAATGAGCATTTGAGCTAATTCTGGGTAAATTGAAGTCAAGCAAAGTAGTAGGTTTGAGAAATGGCATAACTAAAGACAAAGAGATGAGGAACAACATGAAATATATGATGAACAGAAATCATTATGCTGTTTTAAGACATGAAGTGTAATTGGTTTGAAGAAAAACGAAGATTTTTTTGGTTGTGCTTCATTACTATGATTTTTACAATGGGGAAATGTACTCATGGCTAACATGGGGGGATTTTCCTAATGGATTTCACTGTTAAGTAATATAAAATACTTTTTTTTTTTTAGAACATTCACTATATAGTATAATTAATATATTTTAAATGATGAAGGATAAAGTGATATCAAGCTTATAGGAGGTGGATCAATCTAAGTAGAAGGAAAGCAGAATAATATGCATAAACTCTTGTATCTGTTATTGGCTGTACTGATAGTGCTGTTGAGTTGGCTGTGAATCATGGCGACCCCACATATAACAGAACAAAGCATTGTTTAGTCTTGTACCATCTTCATGATCCTTCGTACATTTGAGTTTATTGTTCTAACCATTGTGTCATTCATCTCATTGAGGGTTTCCATCACCTTTGCTGGCCCCCCACTTTGCGAAACATGGTGTCCTTCTCTAGTGACTGATTGATTGTTTTTGTTGTCAAGTGCCGTAGAGTTGGTTCTGTATAGGGTTTCCACAGAGCAGTTGGTGAGTTTGAACCGCCAACCTTGTGATTCAAACCTGCCTTGCAGTCCAGTTCTTAACCGACAGCGCCACACCAGTAAGGAAGTAGATGTCTCAGACAATATTCTGTGACATATGGCGTTCCATTAATGTTTCAGAAGTAGATCACCAGGCATTTCTTCCTAGTCTGCCTTAGTTTAGAAACTGCTGAAACCTCTCACCATGGATGGGCTTGCTAGTATTTTAAATGTTTATGGGTATAGCTTCCAAGATTGCAACAATGCACAAACCACCACACCCTGACAAACTGACAGAGGTGGTTGTATCTGAAATGGTTTGACATAATGTAAGGAATATAGTATAGCTGTCCCTTGGTCTCCAAAGGGGATTGGTTCTAGGCCCTCTTGCAGAATCCATGGATGTGTATAAGTCCTTTGTACAAAGGAGCTTCAAAAAGTTTGTGGGAAAATTCCATTACCTTTTAATTCCATTTTTCCATTCTCCCTCTCAGCCTTTAAAGGATTGTTTTGACCACTTAATTGTGTTTTTTTTTTAGGAGCTTTTAAATTATACACAGAAACAAAGGGTGCATGTTATTATACCACAAATAATGAAGAAAGGCAGTGCTCAAAGCATCCAGTGTTGGGGAGAAACTGAGGATCTGTGAGGTGGCAGAAGGCCATTGTATAGTGTCCATTTGTTATGTTATGGTATCCCTACACATCTCTTAATAGTATGCCTTCGTGTACAGTAAATCAGTTTTATTTTCATGAATTTTGTTTTTCATGAATTTTTTTTTTTAATCTGTGGTTGGTTAAAACCCTGGATGCAGAATTCATGAATATGGATGGCCAACATATATTTAAAATATATATGTTGTTGGGTGCCATCGAGTCGATTCTGACTCATTGAGAACCTCCATAGGGTTTCCAAGGCACAACCAGTAAGCTTGAACCACAGACCTTTCGGTTCAAACTGACCTTGCAGTTCAGTGCATTAGCCACATCACTACACTTCTTTAATTTAACAACAAAAAGACAGCCCAATCAAAAAATGGGCAAAGGTCTTCAGACAAAAGAGGATTTTCAGATGGCCAACAAGCACATGAAAACATATTCAACATCATTAGTCATCGTTGTTGAGAGCCAGTGAGTTGGTTGTGACTTATAGCGACCCTGTGTAGGGTTTCCTGAAGAGTGGTTAGTGACTTTGAACTGGTGACTTTGTGGTTTGCAAGTTCAGTGCTTATCCTTTAATGCTACACCAGGACTCCTCATTAGTCATTGTTGTTATGTGTCTTTGAGTTGGTTCTGACTCATAGCGACCCTGTATAGGGTTTCCAAGGAGTTACTGGTAAATTTGAACCACTGACTTTGCAGCTCAAACCAACTTTGCGATCCCGTGCATTATCCCACAGCATAACACCAAGACTTAGGGAGATGCAAATCAAAGCTACAGTGAGGTATATTATGTCACTTCCTTAGAATGACAATGACCAAAATTGGAAAATAACAAGTATTGGTGAGGTTATGGAGCAACTGGAACCTTCATTCATTGATAGTGGAAATGTAAACTGGTGCAGCCACTGTGGAAAAGAGTTTGGCGTTTCCTCAAACAGACATATCATATGACCCAACAATCCTTTCCCTGGGCATATACCCAGAAGTGAAGTTAGGAAAACAAAAACCTGTACACCAGTGTTTATTGCAGCACTTTTCACAATAGCCAAAATGTGAAAACAACCAAAATGTCCATTAACAGATGAATGGATAAACAAAATGTGGACTGTTACACATCTGTATAGAGAAAGTATGTGTATATATATATATATATATAATGTTGTTGTTATACATACATACATATATTTCTCACAATTGTGGTAGTGGTGGTCTGGTTATGTGGAGTTGGTCCTGACTTAGTGATTCTGCATAGGGTTTCTGAGGCTGTAAATATTTATGGGAGCAGAAAGCCTCATCTTACTCCTGTGGAACTACTAGTAGTTTCAAACTGCTGACATTGAGGTTAGCAGCCCGATTTCATAACTACTATGCTACCAGAGCTCCTTATATTTCTCACAATACATTTTCTTAAAGTACATAATCATGATGACAGTCTGGAGGCTAAATTTTTATCAAGATCAAAGAGAACAGAAGCAAGAAGTTAGAAGAATATTGACCTTGTATATAGGTAAGAAGGAGCTCTCGTGGCGTAGTGGTTATGAATCAGGCTGTGAATCGCAAGGTCAGCAGTTCGAAACTACCAGCTGTTCTGCGGAAGAAAGAACAGGCTTTCTGCTCCCATAAAGATTTACAGCCTCAGAAACCCTGTACAGGATCGCTGTGAGTCAGAATCGACTCCACACCACATAACAACAGCAACATATAGGTAAGAAAGGACAATGTGAATATCTGCTCTTAGAGCAGTGGTCATAGGAATGGAAAAACAAGGCTAGATTTAAGAATGATTTCAAAGATAAAATGGGCAGGACTTAGTCATGGATTGTTAAGTGCATTTGAGTTATTTCTGACGCATAGTAACCTGTTGTACAGTGTTTGCGAGGAGCAGCTGAGTAGTTTGAGCCAACCTTGCCGTTCAAGCCAACTTTGTGGTCCAGTGTTTACCCTACAGCACCACACCAGAACTCCAATCATGGATAAAGGAGGAAATTTAAGGTTATTTCCCTAGCACCTGGTATAACTGGATGTATTTATATTTCTTCTTAGCTTTAGCAAAGTGTGTTGACTGTAGGTGGGGTAGGGGTGACGATACAGAGTTAAATTTTGATCTTATTGAGTTTGTGTTCAGCAGCATTTCATGTAGAATTCGAAATCTCATGGGGGCGTTCTGCAGTGGAGACAAATTTAGAAATCAGTAACATTTCAGAAATTTATTACTTAGGGAGACCATAAAAGAATGTATACACCTGGGAAGGATTCCTGATTCAGGCTTTCTTCTACATAGAATACTATTCAGTAGAGTATGGGAAGGGATGTAGTATTAGGCAGCCTGTATTACACTATATGCCCCTTGGTTTCTGTAATAAAAAATAGTAACTAAAGGTTTTGGTGTAAGAAAACCACTTTATCGATAACTTCTTCCTATCAGTGTATATGGTTGCATATAATTTCTTGTGCTCTCTCAGTAGATATTCTGATACTGGACTACCTGAAGATGTTCACGTATATGTGTGTTTTCTGACTATGATAAAATATGAAAACTTAGGCTAAGCTCTCACTACCAACACCAAAAGGAAAGGAAGAAAATTATTCCTTTTTATAAACTAGAAACTATACCATTCCTTATTCATATTTAATGTTTACTCTTTAGAAATCTAAGTTTTTTATATTAGTCAAATGTTAGTGACGCCATACAATTTAGTTTCCTTTTTTTTTTTTTTTTTTTAATGAGTTATCTTTTTGTATATTATTTAGCCGTTTTCAATTCTGAGTTTGATCCTCCTGCTGCTCATCTTCTTTAGGGCTGCTGGTGCTGTGTTTTTAAAGATTATGAAATAGATTTTATAAAATTGTCCCAGGAAAACAGTCAGAAAAGGAAATATCCTCCCTAAAAGTATAACTCTTCATGGCAAATAGAAGTCTTTTGTATTAACTTCTGTTTTAGATTATATGCAAATTTAAGAATTGATAAAACAAAACAGCATGAACTTTATGTAAGGTTAGAGATTTAAAGAAGAATATACCATTTCTCATAGATAATTTTGTATTAATTTTGTATTTTTGAATTGTGAGGATGATTCAGTGACAGACTTTCTGAAGTTTTTGTACTTATGGGAATAATATATGAGAAATGTTTAGACTGCATCTTTTTTTGTTTTTAGATTGGGCTGGTTTAGATGAAGATGAAGATGCACATGTCTGGGAGGATAATTGGGATGATGACAATGTAGAGGATGACTTCTCCAATCAGTTACGGTGAGATTTATATATTGTATTCATGGTAAGCATGTAATATGCATCTTACGTATTATAATTGACCTTTTAAATGATAATTTTTGAAATACAATTTTGAGTTAAAAAAATAAGACATATTACCTTCAGCTGTATTTCTAAGCATAAATACTTTGTGTAATTGCATATAATTTTTGTTCTGTTTGGTTTCTTTACAAAGATAGTTAAATAGAGCCACACTTGCTATTTTTTATCCTTGTGGGTTTAATTCTGTCAACACCAGTTCTCTACTAAAATTGAATAACTCAGCAGAAATTAGAATAATTAACTATTGGGATCTTATAAGTAGCTGATTTTCATACTGAATGGAGATGGGAGTGGTGTCTTAGGTTGGGTTCTTTAGAGATGCAAAGCCAGTAAAACTTACAGTTAGAGATGGGCAAATCTCAAGTTCACTGGTCAGATGAAGTTTTCTGACTTACATAGCTTCAGGGATGATGAACTGTAAAAACAGTGTGGGGGCCAAGGCCATGGCTGAATTCCTCTGGCTTCACAAGGGGAAGGAGAATTAAATGCAATATCAGCCCAAGGCTGCTTCCTATGATGAGGAGATCAGACAGACATCTCTCCACCATATAAACCTCCATTGATACCAGCCATCCCTCTCATAGCATTCTCTACTTCACATCTGGGTTCGACGTTCATTGCAGTGGCCACACAGAACTCATGATTAGGGTTTTATTTGGAAAGTGACCAGGTTACAAGTCAGGGTCAGAAAGGACAGCAGTTCTGCAGTCAGGAATGCCTCTTGTCTACATAATGCAGGCTCAGCTCAGTCTTGTCTTTAGCCTCTCAGACATGTGGCCCCTCAGCCTCTGCCCTGCTTGGGCAAGTGTTACCAAACTCCTTTAAGTGTCCAAAGAGCACATTCTGCAAGCTAGCCTCTTACTCATAGACACACAGCTTTACTCAGTCCATGGGCCTAAATGCGTGCAGCTGCTGCTTCATGTTACCGCCTTTGTCACCGCTGCTCTTCTAGATAGGGATCTCACACTCCACTCATGCTCTTCTTTCTTGATGGTCCTGGGATCATCTGTTCCTGCTTCTAGATGGCTCTTCTTAAACCTAGCTGGGTGGCAAAATTAACCAATCCCAACTTTACAGCCCTGTAGAGTCCACTTTATTTGCATGGTCCAACCCAACCACTTGGTGGAAACTAAGAAGACTTTGGATAGAAAAGCCATATCAAGTAAATTCAAGGTTCCACATGAACCAAGATCAGCACTTCAGTTGGCAAGCAGGCAGGTCAGACAGGTAGGATGGCAGTTTGCTGACAACTCCCAGGATTGGCAAGCATTAGATCAGGTCTCTGGTTCAAGTCCAAAGAACTTGAAATTTGGATGATAAGCCAGATGCAGGATCCAGACCTAGTAGAAAGCAAGCAAACTTTGCCTGAGTGTTCAGTGTATTGGGAGCAGGCCACACCTCAACAGAAGCTTGCTTTCAATTGGTTGGCTGCTCACAGTAGATCTCATCTTGAGGGATTACTACAATTTAACTGCCAAACCCTGAGAATCCTGGCCCAGGCAAGTTGACACAGGTAGTAAAAGTTTATTTGTTCATATTCATTTACATATCCATCTAATTTTAATTTTTTGTTAATGTAAAAGTCATATAACATAAAATTAAGTCTTTAAGAGTATATAGTTCAGTGACCTTTCATATATTAATAATTTTTACAGTCATTACCTGTAGTCATAAAACTTTCCTGTGCCCCAAAAGGCAACGCTAGACCTTTTAAGCCTTACTTCCTGTCCCTGGAGTCCTCGTGTAGTGCTGTGGGTTAATGCACTAGACTGCAAAGTTGATTTGAACTTCAAGATGGTGGTTCAAGCTCACCAGTCGTTCCTCAGAAACCATATACAGGGTCACTATGAGTCAGAATCAACTCATGGCATTTAAAAACAACAGACCGAGCCCCTGGCACTCACTAACTTGTTTTCTGTCTCTGTGGATTTACTTATTCTGCATAGTTCATGTAAATGGAAAGTACTTGTGTAGTCTGACTTCTTTAATTTAGTATAGGGTTTTTAAGGTTCATCTATGTTATTGTATATGTTAGTATTTTATTTTTTTACTTGGCTGAATGACATTCCAGTGTTATTAGTGACTATAGTGAATAGTGCTGCTATGAATATTCATATACAGGTTTTTGTTTGAATACCTGTTTTTAGGGGTTTTGTTTGTTTTCGAGTATTGACCCAAGAGTGGAATTGCTGACTCATGATAGTTCTGTGTTTAACTTCTTGTGGAACCACCTAACTATTTCCCACACCAACTGTACCATTTTACATTCCCATCAGCAATGTACAGGGGTTCCTACTACTTCTCATCTGTGCTGGCCTTGGTTATTTTTCAGTGTTTTAGATATAACCGTTCTAATGAATGTGAAGTGGTATCTCCTTGTGGTTTTGATTTGTGGTTCCTTAATAGTTAATGATGTGTTCAGCATCTTTTTATGTGCTTTTTGGCCATTTGTATATTTCCTTTGGAAAAATGTTCAAAACCTTTGCTTATTTTTTAGTTGCATTATAAGAATTACTTACATATTCTGGACACTATGCCCTTATTAGATACATGATTTGCAAATATTTTCTCTTGCTCTTTAGGTTATTTTTTTCATTTTCTTGATGGTATCATTTGCATAAAAGTTTTTAATATTGATAAAATTAAATTTATGTATTTTTTGTTTCTTTCACTGTCATATTTAAAAATTTATTGCCAAATTCAAGGTCACCAAGATTTATTCTGTGTTTCCTCGGAGGGTTTTTTAATTCTAGCTCTTGCAATTGGTCTACCCACTTGGAGTTAATTTTTGTATATGGTGTGTGAGATAGGAGTCTCACTTCATTCTTCGACATGGGGCTATCTGATTGACTCAGCACCATTTTGAAAACCATTTGTTTCCCCACTGATTTAGTTGTGCTTTTCTCTTTTTATTTTGTTTTCCATGGAGGTTTACATAGTTGTTTAGGTTCCCATTCTAAAATCCGTGCACAAATTGTTCAGTGACATTGATTATATTCTTCACAATGCATGAACATTCTCATTGTTTCCATTCTGGTTGTTCCTTCCTCCCTAATTTTATTTTGATTCAACCCATGTTGATCTGTTTTCTCAGGGATTTCTAAATAGACTGTCATATACACTGCTGAAATCAAGATACAGAGCAACTGTTGCAGTTTTCTAATTTACTAGTACCCTTGTTCAAAAAGAAGTGAGATCATTTATAATGATTTTTAGTTTGTTTCATTCTTAATAAAGATAGAATAGTTGTTCCCAGTAACACTAATTTGAGGGGGTAGGAGCCTCAGAAGAGGCTAAAGACATTTTAGATACTTTTAGGCAGTTTCACGAACTTCCTTCCATCTTTGGAAATAGTTCAATTTACATTTTTGCCTTTCAGTGTCAGTCTGGTCCTTTTACAGTTCTTTATGGTTTCTCAAAGATTACTGGCTCAGTTTTTGCTGTATCTGTTCTTTCACTACTTCCAGTTGTAATTATTCAGTCTTGAGACTTTAAACTACTTGAATGCCATTTGGAGTTATCTCATCGGTCTTGGTTTTCAGTTTCACCTTAATGATGATGTTTTTCATTTTGTAGTTTTATGGACAAGATAAGAGCAGTATCTGTTGAGCTTTTCCTTTTAAAATCTATTAATGTTACATCATCAATCCCAAGCATTGAACTTAATCATACTCATTATTCATCCATATATGGCTCTCAAAGCCCTTTTTGTTCTTTTTCTCAGTTCATTCTGCGATTTAAGTAATGCTATGTTTACAAGTTTATGCCACTGTTTTCTATTCATTTATCATTAGATGCATCAGAAAACACACTGATGTCCTTTTACACACACACACACACACACACACACACACACACACACACACACACACACACATATATATATACACACACACACATCCCTAGGATGGAACCATACTACGTTATTGAAAGATTTATAGTTTTATTTTCAGACATTCCAACTCTGCTGTTCTTAGTGGTTACGAGTCGGGCTGCTAACCTAAAGGTCAGCAGTTTGAAACTGCCAGCTATTCCATGGGAGAAAGATGTTTTTAAGTTAAGACCAAATGAGCTTTCTTCCTTTGTCATTATAAAGAGTCAGATTTCTCCAACGTTTTGTTTCTTTTATCTCTTTCATTAGTCAGAAAATGGTACTTGTCTTAAATGTTTTCAAGACTTTCTCAAATACTATGAAATTATCAAGAGATTTTTAGAAATGTACCAGTAGCTGGATTCCTTGTCATTGGAGTCCTGGTGTGGTGCTGTGGGCTAATGCATCAGACTGCAAAGTCATTTGAACTGCAAGATTGGTGGTTCAAGGTCATCAGCTGCTCCTAGAAAACCCTATACAGGGTCGCTATGGGTCAGAATTGACTCGACGGCACCTAACAACAACAACTACATCTCACTATTTCACTGGTTTGCAAATTGAACATTATTTATATATTCCTGTAGCACATCTCCACAATGATCCTCTGTTCTCTACCATGCTTTTGCCTTTAGACTTGTGGGTTTCTGTAGGGATGTAATCTTGATGCCTTTACTAATGAATAAAATTTTTCTTTTTATTTCCTGACTTGTGTCATTAGTTCTTTTCCACTAAGCTTGTTGATACCCCACCAGTACTGTCAAATAGAAATTCTGGTGGTGATGGAATATTCTGTAACATGTACTAGCCACACATGGTTGTTGAGCATTAGGACCTGTCAGTGTTTCATTCTGTTGTGCATAAGGTCGCTATGACTCGGTACCGACTAGATGGCACCTAACAACAACAACAAAGTGCAACTGAGGAATGGAATTTTTAATTTAATGTAATTTCTTTAAACCACATATGACAACTATATTAGACAGCACAGCATCAGACAATAAATCTTTACTGTCAGAAATGTTCTTGATTAATAGTTCTTCCTCATCTCTGTAAAATTCTTTGAAGTCCTTACTGTGGCCTCATAGGCCATGGTAAGAACATGTTGTGCTGGTTTCTGACATGAGTGCTCTAACTTTGCAGACACTTAGAGGCAGACTGCCTGGTCCAAACCTGAGCTTTGTATTTAATTTAGCTGTGTGAATCTCAGACAAGTCACAGAGCTTCCCTGTTACTCATTTTTTCATCTATAAAATTCAGATGGTAATTAGTACATTACTCATAGGCTTGCTGTGAGGATTCAATGGTAAATGCTGTATGATGCCAGTAAATCAAAGTTTGCTATGATTGCTACAAAATCATAGAGACCTTTATTAAACAACATTATCAAATTGTGAAGCGTCTGTTTCTTGAGATACTGCATCTAGGTCTGTACGCTTCTGAAAGTCATGTTTCCATTTCTCTAACCTTTCCCCCAAAGAATTCTGTGCTCTTAGTTTGCATGTTAGGATGTCAAATGTGGCATCTTGAGACTCACCCTATTTCTTCTAAATGTTCTTTGAGTTTGGGAAACAAAAAGAAGTCTGAAGCACCAAGATCGGGGGTGTGGGTGTAGGGTAGATGGGGTAAGGGTTCCCAACAAGATTCTCATGGGACAAATCTTACTACCCTTGAAGAAAGCACAGGGGCATTGTCGTGGTAGGGGAAAAAAAAAATGGGGTGCAACTTTCCTGACCTGTCTTTCACCATTGCAGTTTCAGTTTCTTAAAACTTCTTCCTGGTAGGCCAGCATGATCGTCTTATATCCTTCAAGAGAATCTATCAAGATTACCCCTTTGTAGTCCCAAAAAAAACATTTACCATAACTTTCTGAGATGACCTCTTTGCCTATTATTTAACTAGACAAGTAGATCCCTTTGGAAGCCACTGTTTGATTACACTTTGCTGTCTATATCGTATTGGTAAATCCAAGACTCATCCCAGTTATGATTCATTCCAAAAAATCATCTTCATTAGCGTCAGTTAAAATACTGATGAGAATATCTGTTCTTCAAGCTAGCTTATTTTTGATCAACACATTTTTTAAATAACCTTTTATTTGTTGGCACCCTAAGGAGACCAAGACAGGTGGTATATCACTGAGAGAACTTGTATGCAATCATCCACTGATTGCAGAGACTGTTTAAATCTTTTTTGTTTGGAATCAACCTGTGCATGCATGAACTGGAACCCTGGTAACAATACTTTTTGACTTACCTTCATATATGTTGTTGTTGTTGTTAAGTGCCGTCGAGTCGGTTCCGACCCATAGCGACCCTGTACAGGGTTTCCGAGGGTGTAAATCCTTACGGGAGTAGAAAGCCTCATCTTTCTCCCGCGGAGCGGCTGGTAGTTTCGAACCGCTGACCTTAAGGTTCGCAGCCCGATTCGTAACCACTACGCTACCAGAGCTCCTACCTTCATATATAGTATCCTAAATAAATTAAAATCTTCCATGTGGCAGGCTGGCTACTTTCTATGTTTTTTTCCTTTAATGTTAAGTGCCACTGAGTCTGGTCTGGCCCATAGTTATCCTGCATCGGGTTTCTGAGGAGCAGCTGGTAAGCTAGAACCACTGACCTTACAGTTCAAACCAACTTTGCAGTCCAGTGCATTAACCCTCAGTACCATGCCAGGACTCCACTTTCCTTTAATAATTAAATATAAAAAGAAGACCATCTGTATCACTTAGTTACTGGAAATTCTTCTTCACTGTTGCTGATTATCTTTTGATTTTCTATGTAGCCGTAGAAATAGGTAGCAATATGAGATTTCCCAAACCCTGCATAGCATAGCGTCTTACATAACAACTCCCTGGAATCCAGTGTAATTCCTAATTAACTACCACCATAAAAAAGAAGAATACTTTCTTAGGTAGTTAAGAAGAGGCCTCAAACCTACAAGTGACTATGAGTCTTTTTCAGTTTTTTGTTACAGAAGGAATGCTGCTGCTTTTGCTTTAAAGAGTCTATATTTACTATATTTGTCGTATATCTGTGATACTCCGTTTGTGCTGTGATTCTTCCTTCTGTCCTGTCCTTGCTGATTTTTTTCTCCGTTAACCAGCCTCATGATGTTTGTTTTGTAATTAGTGACCTTAATTTATTTTTCTTTTGGTTTCTTATATTACTTAAATTCTAGCATATAGCTTTTTATTTGTTGTTAAGTGCTGTCAAGTTGGTTCCAACCCTGTATAGGGTTTTCAAGGAGCATCTGGTGGGTTTGAAATGCCAACCTTGTGATTAGCAAACCAGTCCTCAGAAACCCAATACCCGGTTGCTATATGCTCGGAACCAACTCAGCAGCACTTAACAACAATTTATTTTGCCTACATATAGTTAATACAGAATAATTGTCATGGATCTTTCAAGGTTTTAAATAGTTTTTTAGTTTGAGTAGTATATATATGTCAGTATGAAAAGCAGTTTGTTGAGCTGTTTTCTGTCTAGGGTCTACCTGTTAATGATTGTAAAATACCTAAGGTTTGAAAAGGAGCCCTGGTGACATAGGAGCTCTGTGGTGAGAATCCCAACAGCTGGTAGAAAGACCTGTGGACCTGCTCCTATAGAAATTCAACCTAGAGAACACCATAGGGCTAATATGAGGTGGAATCAACTAGGCAACAATGGGGTTTTGCTTTAAAAAGATTTGTCTTGTGTTCTTAACCAGAAAGCTAATGATTCTGAAGTTTTATTTTTAAATACTTATTATGAACAAAACATTTGTATTGCATATGCAAGATATTTCTAAGTCCCTCACAGTTCTTTTATAGCTAAATTAAGGGAAATAAAGAGATATGTGTAATATTGGGAAAGGTTATATTTAATAGCATTGTATTGATTTACATCCAGCTATTTTCTTACATGGGTTTCATTTTAGGGACTAACCTAAAACTATGTGTTTAAAATTGATATCCCAATTTATTGACCTAATTTATTGTGTTACTTCTTTAAAAGTGTTTTTGTAACTTATGAAGGATGCCTAGTGATGTTTTCTTTTGTATGTGCTTTATTATAGAGCTGAATTAGAGAAGCATGGTTATAAGATGGAGACCTCATAGCATCCAAGAGAAGTGCTGAAGCAACCTAAACTTGAACTGTTTATAAATTCTAAGACCGGGAATCCAGGATGGGGACACTATTAAAAAAAAAATGTTTATTTCATTTTTTGCTTGGATTTATTTTTGTTATTATAATAAAAACATAAATGTTTTGATCTATTGCTTTGGTATAAAAATCATGATCTGTTGTTTGTAATCATTAATTTTCTTACACTACTTATCTAATCCTGGTGTGGCCCTGCCCTGTAAGATCAACTGTGAACCATGAGATCAGTAGTTCAAACCTGTTAACAGCTCCACGGAAATCCACATACAGGATTGCTGTGAGTCGGAACTGCCTTGACGGCACTTAACAGTAACAACATTATTTTATAGGGGAGTGTGGAATTTCTGTAGGGTGAGCAATGAACTGCAAACCACATGGTTGGCTATTCAAAACTACCAACTGCTCTGCTAGAGAAAGATGAAGCTTTGTGGTCCTGCAAAGATTTACAGCCTCAAAAACCCTACACAGGGTTGTTATGGGTCAGAATTTACTCTACGGCACTTAACAACAATTATTACATGTCATTGTTAAGTGTCATCAAAGTCAATTTTGACTCATAATGACCTGTACAGGGTTTCCAAGGAGCAGCTTAGTGGTTTGAACCACTGAATTTATGGACCGCAGTCCAGTTCTAATCTGTCATGCCACACCCTGAATCCGACCCTGTGGTTCAAACCAAACTGGTAGTCCCATGCTTTATCCTACAGCACCATACCAAGATTCCTCTCCTATGCTGGTGGTGGTGTGCCATGGAGTAGGTTCCAACTCATAGTGACCCTACATAGGGTTTCCGAGGCTGTAAATCTTTACTGGAGCAGAAAACATCATCTTTCTCTTCTGGAACAACTGGTAGTTTTGAACTGCTAACCTTGTGGTTAGCAGCCCGACTCGTAACCACTACGCTACCAGACACTAGGACTCCAATAATGTTGCAAACCCTCGGCACCTAGTAACAAATGCTTAATATTCAGAGTAGTTTCATCATAGTTCTAAGAGCTATGTCCTTTGTTAAAATTGGGGAAGTAGGCTCAAGATACAGTGCATATTTTCAGTTGGCTCAAGATACCGTACTACAAAGCAGATTTATTTAATACAATTAAGTTTTGCAAATGATTAGTGTTGCCAAATTTATTTTTGTAAGTGGGAGATTTCATTTGGCTTACAAAGGGTTCTTTCTGGTAAGCGAAGGAAGCTGATAGAATAAATAATTTTCAAGCTTGAACACTACTCATTAAACAGAATCATTGGTACAGATGAGCAGTTTAAACATGTAAAATTTATAGAGTTGTTATTAAGTGCTGTTGGTTCTGTTCCGACTCATAGCAACCCTATGTATAGTATAGACACCAAAATAGAAGTTGAAGAACTGAAATCTTAATCATACCTCCAAATGATTTGAGCACAAATATGTTTCCTCCACCTAAAACAAACATGGCACTATAGAATAAGCACTGGACTGCTAACCTCAAGGTTGGCAATCAAACCCACAGGCTGCTCCTCAGAAACCCTATATAGGGTCTCTATGAGTGGGGTAGACTTGATGGCACTTAACAACAGGAAGACAGGCATCAACCTTTTGAGAAATGCAAAAGAACTTTGAAAAATGTCAAAGCCCCATTTCGTGTAAGTGTGGTTGTTGTAATTTTGTAATCACAGCAGCTATGTTGATGTCACCTGTTGGGAAATATTGTCTGTTTTTTCAATATTCTGGTAAATGGTTACAGACTTACCATTAGATTCCTCCTAGCCCCCCAGTATTGGTCACCTTGGCAATGTCAGATTGGTACCCAGTATGATATCCACCTCATGTGACTTATTAATTTTTTTTTTCTTTTTTGTGCTGTCAGTGCACATGAGACACATTATTGGAAGGAAACAGTCTTCCTTGTGGGTTGCTACCAAACAAACTCTAGGAAGTTAGGAATTGTTAATGCTGTGAAGTCAATATGATTTGTAGCAACCCTGCATAAGGTTTCCAGGGAGCAGTTGTTATGTGCCGTGGAGTCGGTTACGACTCAGCGACCCTGTACAGGGTTTCCGAGGCTGTAAATCTTTATGGGAGCAGAAAGCCTCATCTTTCTCCTGCGGAACAGCTGGTAGTTTTGAACTGCTGACCCTGAGGTTAGCAGCCCGATTCGTAACCACTACGCTACCAGAGTTTTAATCACTGACCTTGGGATTAGCGTCCAGTGCTTATCCTACAGTGCTAGTGCTACACTAGCGTTGTTGTTGTTAAGTGCCATGGAGTCGGTTCCAACTCATAGCGACCCTGCACAGGGTTTCCAAGGCTGTAAATCTTTAAGGAAGCAGAACGCCTCATCTTTCTCCCATGGAACCACTGGTAGTTTCGAACTGCTGACCTTGCGGTTCACAGCCTGATTCATAACCACCATGCTACACTAGCATTAGGATAATGAAACCCATCAGAGGTGGGAATTGAAAATAGGCAGTTGAAGAAAATCTTACAGGATTTCACTTTCACTCTGAAGCAAGCCTGTCTATTGTAAACAATTTTTTCAGATTGAAAGCCATGTGTCTTAGAAAATCAGCACGTGAAAAGGCCTGGCAGGCATACAACTATTGTTAAGTGCCATCAAGTCAGTTCCGACTCAGCCTGTTAGCATTTCCAAGGGAAGGCTGGTGGGTTTGAACCTCAGACCTTGTAATTAGCAGCCCAGTGCTTATTCTACAGTGCCACACCAGGACTCCCATAGAACTACAATAAGGGTTTTTGATTGCTAGGAAACTTGCATGATGTTTTAGAAAGTACGTGAATTTTGGTCTCATCCAAGTTTGATTCAGAGTTGACCACTTAATAGGTGTATATTACGTTAGGCAGGTTTCAGAAAAGTTTGACAATAGTTTCCTGTTCAATAAAATGGAGAGAAAACCTGCTGTACATAAATTTATATAAAAGAATTTTCTAGAAGAGTGCCTACTGTTAGTCACAATCAACAATGGTCCTTACGTGTCCTAGGTCATGCTGCTACTGCTTATGGGAGTTTTCCTAACCCCCCTTAAGAACTGGTGCTGTTAGGGTACATACTATGTGTTCTGGGATAAATTATGCCCCCCACAGTAAATGTTGGGAGAGTGAAGACTCTACAGTGAATCACAAGTTAGCAGTTTGAGCCCACCAGTCACTCTGGAGGAGAAAGCTGAGGCTTTCTGCTCCCACAAAGATGTATAGAATTGGAAACCCTGTGCCAAGTCTGCAACAGCAAAAAATATGTGATAAATCCTAATCCCTATTTGTGGCTATCATCCCACTTGGGAATGGGTTTATTTGTTAGGTACTGAGATTGTTTTAATGTAAGTCAATCTCTTGAGATATGAAAGAGCAGATTAAGCAAGCAGAGATGGGAGAAGATAGAAGCCATGCCACACATGATTGGAAGACAAGGACCTGCTGGAGTCAGCACTGAGAACCAACCTTCCGCGAGAGCCAGCACCCTGGATTAGAACATCTAGTCTCCTAAACAGGGAGAAAATAAATTTGTTGGTAAAAGCTACCCACTTGGGGTATTTCTGTTGTAGCAACACTAGATAACTAAGACATTATGAACCTTACCATTGATGTAAGCTATGTAATGTTCCCAACAACCCTGAGAAGCTAGTGTCATCTGCATTTACAAATGAGAAAACTGAAGAGTAAGCTTGCCCAGGGTCACTCAGCCAGGAAGTGGTAATAAACTCAAGGACAGGAGCAATGCTATACAACCTTGAATTGCTCTTTCAATTGCACTTGATGTCTTTTTTCCACATAAAGTGATTTCTTAAATTTCAGTTGAATGAATGTATGGAGAAATTAAGTTGACTACAGATTTGTTTCCAATATTAGCAATTGGAAGAAGTTTTTTCACTGATACAGATGTTTCTGTTAGTGACTAATGCTTTTTTTTTTTTTTTAAGTTTTTATTATGAATTGAGTGATAGTTTACATGGGAAAACTCTGGTTTTACACTCATTATGTCATTGCAATGATTACAATCTCCGTACATCATCATTCAACAGAATTTGCTTCTGTTCCCTGTTTTTGGTTTTTTTTTTTTGTGTGTGTGTGTGTGTGTGTGTGTGTGTGGGCAATGTACACAAAAACACTTCAGGAATAAATAATAATTTAAACAACCAAAGGGCACATTATCCAAGCCTGCCTCCTGGCCACCAGCACTCAGTCTTTCTCTTTCCATGCATCTAGAGCCCTTAGCTGCTCTGTGTCTTCATGTCCTCATCTCTGGTGTTGCTGCCTCTCTGGATGGGGTTCCACATCCTGCTCGTGCTCTTCTCCCTTGATGGTCCTAGGGTCCTCTGTTCCTGGACTGTAAGATTAACTACTACACCCTTTTTGTTACAAAACGTCTACCTTTATAGTTGTTATGTGCCGTGGAGTAGGTTCCGACTCATGTTTCCGAGGCTGGGAGAAAGTCTTTCTCCCGCGGAACAGCTGGTAGTTTCGAACTGCTGACCTTGCGGTTCACAGCCCGATTCGTAACCGCTACGCTACCAGAGCTAGTTAACCTTTATAGTTAAGACTGTCTCTAGTTATGTTAAAAATTGCTCGCTGTTGTAAGACTCAGCTCCATCTCCTTTTACCAGACCCATCTACACAAGATGAAAACTATTCAGTGGGGACTCTGTCTTCACCACACACTTACTATTTTTTTAATGTTTTATTGTGAATTATATGATAGTTTACATGGGAGAACTTTAGTTTTACATTCATTCCATCGTATATCATCTCATTGCCATGGT